TCCCTTGCGAACTTTAATAAACATTCCAAAAAATATAAAATTTATATTGTAGGCATACTTATTATTAAACCTTCAGATGTTTACCATAGTAGCTCCCATATATCGGAAGGTATGGCGTGCTTCAGGAAATTTTAGAGCATTAGAGGAGTCATTTAACCATTTTAGACTTTGGATTCTTAATTAAAGGTTTAGGTTAAAATTATAAACAAATAGTTGAATCTAAGAGCTCTCACCCAAGACATATATTATTTTCCTTAAAAATAATAATAATTGCAAAGCACTCATAAAAATTATTTTGTCCGTAATTGGCTATTTTATAGTGATAATATCACATAACTTATTAAGATAGCTTACCTTGACTTATGTTTTGCGGACAACTCAGGCGTGTACGCAGCGGGGAGGGGCAGGGGGACAAATCCCTCCCTCCCCCTAAAGCCAAAAAATGCAGATGCCGAATTATATTTTTCAAAAATATTATTGTTAATATTAATTTATATTTGTTAATATTTATTCCTATCTCATATATATATATATATATATTTAATTACATTTATTTATCACATTCATCTACTAAGTTATTTTATCAATTAATTTCGATTTCAAGTTTTCCTTGGCGTTATTTACCTATTATTTTCAAATTTTAGTGGCGTATTATTTATCTAAATTTCTAGTCAAATAATAATTATCTGAAACTCCTTGTCCAACAGGGAGAAAGAAATTGCAAGCTTTTCCAACGAGATCGAGTCTCCGCCATCAAGCACTAACAGCTTTTATGGAGTTAGATTACTGAAATATCACAATGGCTTGAAAGAAATATTTCCTCAGAAGCAAGAAAATTATTGGATTCAATACTTATTCCAAATTTTTTTCTCATTGAATGTATTATTTAAATATACAACTATTTTATGTAATACTTTTCAAAAACATGACATAGACTTGATTAAGAAGATGAGAATAGCGGAGAGCATTTTATTAGAACTCAAGGAAATTAGAGCTAATGTTGATGAAGAATTTTATATGTTATTGTTGAGTCAAAAGCAGAGCTATAAGTGTTTAATATTTAACCCCCTCAACTTGCAGCAAGCAAGCTCATCGTCAGAACATTAATATAGGATCAGTAGAAGAGTGTTATAAAACAAATGGCCCCTCTTTTAGATACATTTATAACCCAAATAAATAAATGGTTTTTAATTCATCATGCAGCACTTACAAATCCGCAGATATTACTTCCACAAAAGTTTTTCCAACCTTTTTCAGATGGTGATGGAAAAACAAAAATTTGTTAGATTTTTATAACGAAGATATTAAAATATTTTATGATGCCTTATTAGCTGAATAACTATGATTAAAAGATTGACTATGGTTGATACAGTCCCAAAAAATGCTATGGATGCTTTACATAATTTCAAACACATTTTAGATTATATTCCCAATGTATTAAAATGGTTATATATTAGCAACTCTTCCCATTAGTAAACTAATGAGATAACATTCTCTTTTTTAAGAAGAATAACAGAGCCCTGCAGAGGTACCATTTGCAGAACACGCCCCAGATTTTTTTAAAAAATTTTTTTCGACCCGGGTTTTTTAAAAAAAAATTTTTAGACCTAGCCCGACTTTTTTGAAAATAAAATTTTCAGGCCCGGCCCGATGTTTTTTAAAATAAATTATATTTATTTTTGATTTTTATAGCTAATAATGGCGATTTCAAATATTTGGTTTTAAAATATACAACTCGGCCCGGATATTTTTTTAAAAAAAATTTTCAGGCCCAGCCCGGGTATGTTTAAAAAAATTAAAATACGGTCCGGCTCGGAGGCCGGGCCTGCAAGTCTCTGAAAAACATACCTATGACATACAACTTCTAAAAGTAGATTGAATGATTTGGATCTTGAATATTTATAGGCATTTAACGCCAAGCAAGGATAGATAATTGGAAAATTAGCTCAAAACATACAAAATACAATTATTCCTAAGAAACTTTTTGTGTAAATTTATATTTCCAACATTTAAATTTTTTATACTTTATATATTTTAAAGGCTCAAAAAAATTCATATTTCAATTTTGGGTCATTATAGTGATTCATATCGTGGTTATATTTTATTTTATAATTCACATTTATTTTATAGTTTTTCAATGCCGGTTTATATATGTAATTTTTTTGCAATTCACATTAATTTAAAATTGTGTATTAGAAAAGTTATTAGTCCTAATAAATTTATGCATAGTATTTTTAATTAACAATAATATTTCTTAAAAAATTTTATTCCCCCCCTCCCCACTAGACCAAATTCCTGCATACGTGCCTGGGACAACTAGACACAAGTCAAAAATGAAAACAATAAGGGATAAATGATTTGTATAACATGGATCGAATCAAACTTAGTGTATAATATGAATCATCACTGTCATAGACACTATTTGTGCTTGAAGACGAAAGAATGGTTCATGAAAAATATTAATAAGAACTATTTTAATATACAGGAGTGTGCATCCTTTACAGTTATTAAAATATGATAAGATATCTAAGATTTCTATTATACACGTAACCAAGAAATAAAGTGATAGTGGGAATACTGCTCAGAAGGATAATATGAATGGTTATATATATATATTAGTGTCAGATTCTGAACCTGCAGAAAATTTACAAAGAATTCAAGGAAGAAAAGCTAGAGAGCGAATAAATGCACTCCCTACAGCTTCCTATAAAGTAAACATTCGTTTTCCAGATCATATTACCATATAAATAACAAGGAATTATGGAATGTTATAGTGCTATCAATAAAACATTAAAATATATTTAAACAAATTTGGAATACAAAAATGAAGCCTTATATTGATTACAAATTATATATATTATTGGTAATATGAAGAAAACCCACCCCCACTGCTCCGAAGTAATCAAAGTGATTTAAAAAGATTGGACATGAAGGGAGAAGTGGAAATTTTTGAAAAGTTGTCTCGAATCGGCTAACAATAATTTTTTCTGAAGGAAAAACATAAGTTTTCTATCTATTCCTATCCATTAAATATAAAATTAACAAAATTTGGCCTATCCCGTAAAAAATTGAAAATTCAATCTTTTCTTGCAAAATATGTTTTTATCAAGGAATTTTTCTGTGTTTTATTTTAGTCTCGCAAGATTTTTAAAATATTTTCATTTTATGATACATTCAGCAGGGTTCCGTGCCATATCTGCAGGTCCCTGATATCTAAAAATAAATTCAATTTTTGACAATTGCATATTATACACACATCTTTTATCTATTCAGCAATTTAACTCTTTTATTTCGTTCCTAATTTTTAGCTTCCAATAATATTTATATAAATATTATTGCTTTCAGTAACAACTTTTTCATATATAATAGTAATTATTTTCATACATTCACGCATCTTTCCTATCTATTCTATTTTTAAATCAATGTCGAATGTACTCAAAACTAGGAATTTTTTTTATTTATCTTAATTTTCTTGTAAGATTTAGTAGGAGTTCTTTAAAAAAATTTCTTAATATGAATTCTGATAAATCAGCATGTTGTAACGACTTTTCCTTGTTTTTGAGCCCCTATCATGTTGTAATAACGAGGAAAAAAAAGCATTATAAAAAATATGATATTAATTCCAATAAATACTTTATTGCACTTACCAGGCCTATTCCGATCCAAATAAACTTAAATCGGTTGGATGGATAGATTTCAGCTCAGTTGAATCTTGATTTCAAAACTCTAACTAGAACTGGGTAAAACTCAAACCTTGGCAAAATTATAAATTATATTTTTTTCCCTCCTAATTCTTTTATAAATACTTTTTTCAATAAAAATATTCAAATTTTTTATAATTATACAACTTATAATATTTCCGCTTTCCTTGAAATATCATATTCGGATTGTACTTGGTAAAAAAAAATTTAATCCATTAGGTCTGAATATTTTTTTTAAAGAATAGGTCTGACACAGGAGGATTTTATAAGTTATACCATAGGGTTCACTCTTGACATAATATTAAATAATATTTTAAATAAACCTAACAACAAAATAAAACATGATTTGAAAAATGTGTTTTGTTGGCTCGAATGTTTTTGGGGTAGTCAACTAACTCTATAATATTCAAGAGTCATCAAGATAGTTTTTTCTTATAAATGATACTATTTTTTAAGAGTGGCAACAATAAAATATATGAAAAGATTACCTAAATTTAGGTCACTCTCAGACTTGTTAGCAAAAAAGTGTTTTCTAATCGTTACAAGGTTTATGTTATTCTAATATTTAATTCTTATATTACAACTATTTAATTCTTACTACAATATTTAATTTCAAAAATTTTTAATGTAATATTTATAAATAAATTAATGCTTGAATTAAGCACTTATACTCACATTCACTTTACACTTAGTTTTTGATAATTTTCATATAAATATATTTTACATATCATTCATACCCATTACTATTTATTTATGACTGCGATTCATTCTAATAGATTTATTCGAAAACGTTACACCGGTTCAGATTTTTATTTTATTGTTTAATTTCATTTTTGAATAATTTTGGCTATCTTTTGTAAATTATTTTGAGAAAAAATTGAAAATATGAGCAGTAAATAAATTTTAAACTCTTAAATATATTATTTCACAATTGGTTTATGGATATAATTATAATTTATTACCAGCCTGTGTTTTGTTTAAAAAAAAATTTTAGGCCTGGCCTGGGTTTATTTTTTAAAAATTTGACACTCATATACCTGGGCCTACAGGGTCTCTGATATATCTAAACGAAAGTGTAACTTAATTGTTTTAAGTTTAATTTAGATTTTATAAAAATCATAGCATCAAATAATAAAATATTCTTGTAAATCTTGGTAAAAGAAATATAATAAATATGTTGCTAAGAAACGTTCGTGTAACTTATAATATTTTAAAAAAATAATTGAAATTTTGTTACTTTTTTTAATATTTATTTATTTTTTTTATTTATTTGAAAATTTAAAAAAATATATTCAACAGAGGATTATGTAACGATACAACAACCCTGCCCATCTATTCTGGACTCAGTTTAACGAATTATTTGCCAGTATACTCCCATATTGCAAATGGATCTAGACATATATTAAGGGACAACTACGACAATCAAATATTCGGGCCTTTATCATTGCATCCTCATTATAGTTTTTCCTCCACAAGCCACAACACAAAATCGAATCTGGACAGTACTAATGAGATTAACAATACAAGGTTTTATGTGTGAATTTATTTTTAAAGAATTTATTTTATTATATACTGTTATATAGGTTACCAATCTATGATTAAGCATGCACTCTTAAGGGTGAGTGGCGTTATTTAGAGTATCTCGAATTTCTTAAGTTGCTAGGTTTCATTTAGAAATTTTACTATTATATATATAATAGGTGGTGCGGTTTCGTTACTAGGAATTTAAATTTAGGTAGGTATCCAGGAGCGAATATTTTTTAAATATTTATATAATTATGATAAGAAATACTGATAGTGTAGTATACTATTTAATATAATGCCATGTTCATATCCATTTTAGAACGTCTATTTAGTAATCATCGTTTGTTGTGTCATAAAAGATTTTTAAAAATTATGAAACTTTGAGTATAATTAATAGAAAATTTGATTAGTTTCAAAGCCCTGTAGACCCTCTCCCCACCTCCCAGTTAATAATGCAAAGAAAAGGCTATGAGAATAAATTTTTTTTTTTATTTTAGGCCAAAGATCGGCCAGATTTATTAACTTAAAAGAAGTAAAAATCATTAATTGCTTATCACAGATGACAAATTATAATTAAGAGAAAACATATGTTTTATATTTTTCTAGCGGAGGGCTCTATATGACCTTCTTGGTGACAAAAAGAAAATGATTCAATTATAAAATGGATACTGGCTATTAAGCTACTACCCCCTCTCTCCCCATCCTCATCCTCCTAAATTTCAATGATCCAATAAAATTTAAAATTTTTTTATTCTGAGTATATAAGTCTGCAATTTGAACATTTCTGGCTATACTTAAAAATAATGCATACTTTTATGTGCACATCAAACTTAATTATAAAATTCAAGGTATATATTTTTTTGTTACGTGGAATTTTTTTTGATAAATAACCTTATTTTATAAGTTATATTACCTATTTAAATTTAAATTTCCGAAATAGATACGTTTCATAATAATAATTTATATTGAAAGCTTTCTAAAGTATATATGTCGTAACGGAATACGGAATCCATAGGAATTCGGAATATCTAAATTTTAAATCCTTTTCCGAGGACAATTTTTAATTTGAAAAATTTGACTGTCAGGAAATGTATGCCATCATGTATAGAGTATCCACACTAAATTTGAGACCATTTTACCATGATCTTTTCAACTACTCTAAATTTTTATATATGGAGTTTTTCTTATAAATTAAAAAATACTTGGCGAGAATTATCTGTAATTCATAAAGTAGTTACTTTACGCATGAGAATATTTTTAGGTTAAATGAAATTTTTTTCAAATTTTAAAATGTTAGAAAAAGTCAAAACTGAGAAACTACAAGTCCCCACGAATTTCATATCCCGTTACGACATATATTGTTTATATAATATTATACTAAATATATTTGACATTGAAAAATATCTAAGGAGCGAATCATCGACATCGCCAGTTTTAGCCAATTCGTTTTCGTTCAACATGGATAAGTTACCCTTTATTAGTAAGATCAACAAATCCTCTGCCGATATCACGAAATCATCCTCACTAACAACGACTCCCGATAACATCAAAACCCCGACCCAAGAAAGCTATAAAGAAAACTCGAAAGAAATTTGCAAGGAGGATAATTTAAAGCATTACGTTAAAAATAACAAGAGAAGCAAAGAAATTAGAAAATCTAAACGTTCCAAGAGTTCTAAGTCATTGCTAGGATTCGGAGCCAGTTTTAACTTGAGCAACAAGCCCACTCTAGGTGAAGATAACGTAGCTTATTCAAAGAAAGGGGAATGTGCCATAACATGTAAAAGATACAGTAGAAATCATTTCAATGATAGTGATTTTTACAGCTCAAACAACGGCTATAATTTCCCATCAAATGAAGTTGACACTATGAAAGAGTCTAAACGGAGGGATCAGTACATTAACAACTCATTTTTGTCTGAAAGTTCCAACGAAAATGATTCTGGTATATTGGTTGAAGAAGGACCTAATGATTATTATGCCAATAACAATGGGAATTGTATTATAAATAAAGTATAATTATAGTTAATTTTTGGTTTTTTACACAATTATAATTCTTATATTATTAAATATTGTTAATGTGAATAGTAGGTATTACTTATTTATAAGCATAAAGGTTTTTTTATATTAGGTTTAAAGGTCTTACTCCTAATTTTTAACACCTAGAGACAGAATAGTTTAAAGAGATTCTTTTATTAATTATATTGAATGAAATCTAATTTTATAAAAAATGTATTTTATTTTTTTCTGAAATTGCAAAAGGATATTTCAAGTAACAATCAAAATCAATTTCCACCATCTGCAATTATAACGAGTATAGAATCAAATTTAAAAGCTCGAACTTCACTAAACGTTTATCTTAAAGATTTCAAACCATTTTCAATCAACTCTACCAGCTGTACATCAGAAAACGGTTGTGACACCTTCTATCATGATAACACTGAACAATCTACCTTTAAATCAAAAGGCAATAGGCAAAATAATAATATAATGAAAAATGATTCCAAAGTTTTGAAAGATGGTTATGATCATATGATTAATGAAGGATATGGGAATGCTAATAATAAAAACTATAAAATATTTGTCAATAATGAACAAATTAATCATAAGTATCCCTATAATAATCACATTAATAAGGACGATCATGATAATATTAGCAATGTTGATCTTGATTATTCCAATCTAACTAAAAGTAGTAATATATCAAATTTTCTTAGACTTTTTGATATCAATGGAACATTTGGTAAAGCCAATGAATTTCAACATAAAGTAAAAGGGCCTAATTCAAATTATAAAAACGGAAATTGTAAAAATGATAAAAGTTGCATAAATAATTCGCACAATACCTTAATAAAAAAAATTAATAATGCCCTAGCATCTAATCATAGTAATAAACTAGAAAATGTTAACTATCATAATAAAATAATGAAAACAATTGATAAAGGTAAGTTATACTCACCGTGCGATAAAAATATAGCTAATATGCTTGTGTCAAAAAATAAAGAAAATATGATGAAATATTCTGAAGAGGTTAATCATATAGAAAGTGCATCAAAGAGATACGTTAAAGCCTCAAAATTTTACAGTATACAAGGTTTCAGGAAGTTTGGGAGTTTAACTCAAAATATAAGATCTAGTAACATACTAAAATATAATAAAATATTAGGAGCGATAAACGAAAAAATTTCCAAATCTAATGATGACATGAATTTAAAAAATTATTCAGTAAACACTGAAAGCGCTTGTAGTATTCACAAATTCTTGACATTTCACGAAGATTCACGATTAAATTACAATGCACATTCAATGACCAAATGCAATTCGAGTTTTAGCCTAAGGTCAGAAATAGATTCTAAATATACCCTCTCTAACTTGTTTATGAGTAAAAAGAAGACTTTATTCCCATCACTGAGCTCTATATTTCACCTGAATGAGGATGCTAAACCGCCAGCCAATATAGTTACTAATAAACCAATTAACGACTTAAATCCTAAAGTTTTGTCATTAGAAATATCGCCTCGTGTCTTAAAAGAAAAAGGAAAGTCTAGCTGGACCAAAAATTATAGAAATCAATGGTTAGCCGAAGAATACGCTACTATGCAAAAGCGTAATATTGTAAGTTTTATCTCTAATTAGAACTATTAATCAGTATCGTAAACCTTCAAAACCCTTATATACTCGATCATATGAACGGCTAATTTTGGAAAATATATGGCCTTATATTAGAAATTTAAGGATAAATAAGATTAGAAGGTGGGGCATATTTAGTTACGAGACCCTGATTAATATTATATATGTTATCTAAAACATCTTAATGGCATAATTAATATTTTATTATTCTAAGGAATTAAAAGTTGAAAATGCCAAGAGAGCGAATATGTACAACACGCAAAAAACAAACGTCAAACCAGCAACGATTAAATTAGGAGTTAGTGGATACAATGAGTCGTTGCAAGCCTATGAAAATGCACCAGGTAAAAATATTTTATATAAAAATAAAAAAAAATTTCCATTTTCTTAATTTACTTTGGCCATACTAAAATATCACTTAAATCATAATCTACAAAAGGAAGAGAACTACATATTATAAGAAATTAAGTTATATAAAATCTAATACACAAAATAATTTAAAGAAAACTATTGTTATATGTAATAGTTCTTATACTCATCCTTAATTTAAGAGATTCGATAAAACCTTTTGCGAATGGAATAATACTCGGTGGTTTTTTACCCATCCTTTTATAGTATCCAAAATAATGTTTCAATTATAGGAATATCTCCATCTCATTAATTTTATTATCCTTACTTCTTGCCTAAATACTTCATTTCTTTTAGAAAATAAATTCTTCCTTCCAACCAGAGCTAATCTCATGAGAATCTAAACTAGTTGAGTCGTCTCTAAGTAAATATTTGAATTCATGTTTGTTTTTCATTTTCCCGTTTTTTATTTGTTTGACAATCTGTCAAGTCGAATCTAAGGGGGCCTTTGATTTTCTTTCTAACTTATGAAGGAACTAGTGAAACAACATTTTACTATCTTATAAGCGGATAAAGTTATACTAATTCTAATTTATAATAAAACTTTGTTTATCTAGATATTTAAATTGTCAATTGATAATTGACTGAGTCATTGTCAGTGGTAGACTGGCCATAAGGGGAAATAGTGCCCGCAAGGCCTCCACAAAATATAAATTCTGGAGACTGAATTTTTTTTTGCTAAAACAAACTTGTGAAATCAAATTGGTAAAATTTTTATAGGGTTAGAAATTAGTTTGATTAGTCTATAGGGTATAATTTTATTTAAAATTTTTGCATTATTTGGTAAGTTGTTAATAGAATACAGGCTCTTATTAAGTATTTTTATAAATTTTTAAAATGAAGTCCATATCGTACTATCTTCAAATAAATATTATTGATATTCTTACTGCACGAATCATGGTTAAGGTTTCCAAATTAGCCATTTCAACTTAGGATATGGCATTAATTAAATAAACTAATCACCGATCAAATTTTACCTGTTTCATGGAATGTTTATTACCTTGTCATAGTATTAGTCGAATACATTCCGATGAATGTAGAGATAAAAAAATAATCCTTATAGAATTAAGGTATTTTGGCATAAATTGATAAAATAATTAAGTGTTTAATAAGAGATTTTCTAAAAATTAAGGCCTCATTAGTGGTATTCTACATTTTCCCCAAATAATTTGGCATATTAATAACGAGAATATAAAGGTATAGCTAGATGTAATCGTCTAATTAGAAAAAGTCAAAGTCATGAATTAAGACAATGATTAATTTCGTTTGCTAGGATATATGAAATTAAAAAATTTTCAAATTAAATAAAGATATAGAATTGGAATAACAATGAATCTCACTTATATAAATTCGCTAATTGTCTGTGATCTGTTAAATTGGTTGAGAATTATCATAGTGTGTACATTATTATTTATTTGTATTGATATCATTATAAAAAACTTTTTGCAATTTATTTAATTCCATAGAGATTTATAATTCATTGCAGTTTTTTTCTGCATTACTATATTTCATATATTTTATATATTGAAAATTATTGGCATCTCTTTTTATCTGAAGCTTCTGAATAATCAACATATGTATATCTCATCTAATGTATTATGATATAGGATCCATAGGAATTTAGAATCTCTCAATATCCAATCATTAACTGGAAATTTTTTAAATTGGGTGTAAAGTATCAGCATATACCCACACTATGAATTTTAGACAATTTTTATTTATTCCAAATTTATATAGTTTTCTAATATATTTATACAAAATATACAGAGGTTCATGACGAAATTGTTTGAAATTCGTAAGACTAGTATTCAACACAGGTGGGAACACATTTCTGGTTAAATCATAATTTTCTCAGTAAATGATTTAAAATTTAGAGAGAATGTCAATAGATATATCCCAATACGACATAAAGCCATATCTCTATCTAGCCAAACGAATTACAGTGATCATTTGTTTCATCTAAATCATTGTGACTTCAATCTGCTTCTTAAAAATGAAAATATAAAATCATTGTTCTGAAAGGGGAAGAAGGGGGGGGGGGGTAATATAAAATCATTTTTCTGAAAGGGGAAGAAGGGGGGGGGGTTAATGAAGGTAGCTAATTCTGTTTCGGATTTCCTTTTTTGCTAATTTTGGGGATATTACCGTTGGGGATAGGGAGAGGGGTGTAAAAGTTCCTGCTCTCTCATCTTTAATCATAACCATATTTTGTAAACACTATCATTTTTTTTATTTCATCTCATAGTAGTAACAAAACAGAATTACCAAAACTGTAAGAATATGAAAAAATGCAAAATACAAATGGCCAAATTATATGAAATAGAACCATCCGATATGATATATTCTAATGTGAGCGATAGTCAGCTCAAAACAAAGGAAAAAATCTCAGGCATATTGATCAATGAATCAAGAAATGATCAAAATACGATTGGGAATGATAAGAATTATTATGAATCGATATTAAGTTCCCTCGACAATATTTTAAATCAAGAAATTACCGACGATATAAATTCAGGAAATCGGCTTAGCCAGGATAACGATAAAGATTACAAATATATTTATTTAAAGAATGATGGGAAAACGATAGATGTGTGCAATAATAACCTTCTTTCAAACTCCGAAACAATCCTAAAAAGCTGTTTAGACGACTCCTTCACGACTAATAATGTAAGAATATCAGATGGGCCGACGTTTTATAAAGTAGACGATATTTCATTGAGAGATACAAACTCTGAAAGGTCAAATATAAAGGTAAATAACGATAATTATAGCTATAATATGTGTCGTATCAGGATATGGAAACCATGAGGATTTTTTAAGCAAGCCGATTTAGAAATATTTACCTCGTGGGTAAAGCTAATTTATTTAGGCTTCCATCTCGAAAATATACCAAAAAAATTGGCTTAAACCTCATGGCTTAAAATAAAATAATTCAAGGAAATCGTCAAATCTGAAGGTAAGCCCCTTTATTTGGCTATATCTCAAAATCGAGGCCATTTTTTTGGCTTAAGGCTTAGGATTTTTTTGATTTAAACTCGAGGTTAAACCGAAATATGCATGTTTGAGCAAACTAATAGTTCGTAAAATATGTCCAATTTTTTAATTTTCAAAGTTTTGCACGGAAATTCGGGACGAATTTTATTTTACTTTCGTAATTTTAATTTAACTAGTTATAGCAGATAGAATGATCATAGCAGTCTGTAAAATTATTCAGGGTGTGTCCTGGTTCGACTTATTACTAAACAACCGGCTGTATAGTTTAAACTAAGCCAGAGTTTTTAAAACCTACATTTAAAAGTAGCGCGCTACCGCTATCACTAATTGTCAAAAAAGTAGCGCGCTATTAGCTACTATTTTTTAAAAGTAGCTTTGGCTACTTTTTATAAAAAAAATTTAGAAATAAATTTGATTTATTTTTTGCTTTTAATGAAATTGTATAGTATATAATACTTAAAAATCAACATTTATAAATATTTAAATATAGTTAGTTTTGATTATAAAAAAATTATGTAAAACGACTATAATTCATATAATAAAAATAACAATTTATGGTAATATTTATTTTGTTGCATCCCCAAGTCTAGAGCGACGATCAGAAAGTAAAAGTTTCACCTTACTAAATAATCTCTCAATACTAGCACTAATGTTGTTAAAAAGCCCGATTTGGGTCGATTTTTAAATACTAAGACTATAGCCAAAATTATATTGTAAAAGCCCCAAGATTTAAGTAGAAGCCCAAACCTTACTTCCATCTCTGTGCAAAATCAGCTACACGATATTATTTTGGTTATAATCTTAATCGGGCTGTTTTAAAAAATCGTCCCGAATCGGGCTTTTTAACAACACTCACTAGCACTTGAGGGCAAGGAAGTATTTAATTTTATATACATATTTTTAATATAAGAAAAATGATCAAAAATACTCATTTGAGTATTTTTAGATTTAAAAAATGCGTCTAGGGGATTTTCTATTATATTAGTATCCTTTATTTCAAAAAATTTATCAGTGAAAGTCGTTTTATGATTGTAACTAGGACATCTTTGTTGAGTATAAGACTATTCAGCTTTACCATGAGCCTATCACGTTGATCTTTACCATCATCGGAATTGATATATGGCTAGTTTAGTTTAAAATAGGAATGAATCAAGGCAGCTAACACATTATCATCATTGTATAGGTTGGAGAATCTAATAGTTACAAAAATAATGTATTTAAAATATATCTCAATCATTAAATTTTATAAATCTTTTAGCTTTTAACTTTAAGTTAGAATAAATTATTCAGTCAAATTCAAAACAATTATAATCATCTTAGATTTCTACCTATATAATATTGAATCCAAAATAAATTAAATCAACTTAAATTATGGATCAATCATAATTACATTTATGCTGTGAAAATAAAATTTCCATTTATAGTATTTAAATTCAATTTACCTTCTATCAATCCTTTTAACTAGGGACTGGCACAAGTTTAGATTATTCAATCTCTTTAATTTTGTAGTTAGGATACTCGAAGTGGGAACATAATACCCCATCTCGATATTATCCTCACCTTCCAAAATTTCACAGGAAAAAGCTACATATTGCATAACCTAAAAAATTAAAATGATATGAAATTGAATGAGTTACTTCTGTATACTTTTTTATAAAAGTATGCTCTTCATCGTTGATATATTAAATTCCAACGTGATCACGGAGAAAATCCATTTCTAATCGTCTTTCTCCAGAACAAATGCTACTAATTTGATTACATGGTATACTGAGTTCCATCTAGTGTGGTTAGGAGTTAATAAATACCGGCCTAATTTTTTTTTAAAATATGCCTGAGCCTTCAGAAAATTTTTTCTTTTTATTCCATAGAGTTTGACATTTATAAAAAGTGGAGATACTCTTTTAAGATCTTCAAGGCTCCTTTCAGCATCCATCGTTGCTATCAAATTTAGATTATGGCATGAGCATTTCTGATGACTAAGCAACATTGAGTTGGAGTTAACGGAAGATCCTATAGATTATTTATTAGATTAACATATATTATAAAATAATAAACCTTCTTCTACATTAATATCATTGGCATCTACACCTATTCCTCCTCTTCCAACACATTTTGACTATCATTCTGTATCTCAACTACAGTATTATCCTCACCCAGTGGCCCCTACAACGGGGGGAAGGGGGGTCCGCAGCAACTGTTTCTAAAAATTTGAGTGAAGGTTCTTTTTTTTAAATAATTATTTTAAAATTTTGAGTGGGGGTACATTTTTTAAAAATTTTTTTATTTTTTATTTTAATATTTAAAAAAAAAATTTATTTTTTAGTTTAATTTTTTTTATTGTTTTGCTACATCCATCCATAACCAATTGATTTCTGGTTTATGTATGTAATAATAAGACCCCCCCCCCCACCACCCCTTATTATTTAATTTAATATGTATTGACGGAAATTTTGGTCGATGTTAAGTAAATTAGGTTGTTATCCCAGGTTTCTTGTCATAAATTATTTTTTCAATTTCAAAATATGCCCAAAAATATTAACCAAAAAAAATAAAATGTGTTAGAAGAAAATATATCTGACTCTTTTAATTATCATGAAATTTAATAGTGATATTATTGTGCATGTGATGGCCGTATGGAAGGCTTTCACACAACAAAAATTTCATATTATAATTTATAATACTCCAGAAAGAATGTGTGGATAATAACTGTTCTATCATAAGAATAATAATAAGATGTCTAGGTTATTTAATATCTCGTAACGAAGCCTTCTGGGGGAACAGGTAACAATAAGGCAATATGATGGGTCTTTCATTGCAGATTCTGATCCAGTACTGGGAGAAAACGAAAAAATATTTTCATTGAAACCATGAATATGGTAAAAAAAATTCAAAATAAGATAGAATTTAACAGGTGCTTTTTAATTATAGTTGATGGCACATATGATGTTTAGAAATCAGAAGCTCGATTTGATATATTCGTAAATTTTGCATAGAATACAAATAATTTTTCGATAGGTCCAATCTGAATAGTGTATTAAAATTATTTATTGATTTTAATCAAAATCAAATATTTTGATCTCTGCAGATTTTTTTAAGAATGCTCATGCAAGTTTTCTGATCAAATTTAACCAAAATTCTATATCTTTTTTATAAAAAATCTTTAGAGATTAAAATCTTAATTTTTAAAAAGAGTAAATTTTTTCTGATTTTATGCACAAAAAATCTATCATGATTAAATAACAAATTTTAAAAAAAATTAATTCTGATCTTCTTTGAAAAAAATCTTCAATTTTGTGATCTTCAAAGATTTTTTCCTCATAATTTTGGTAAGATTTTTTTTAAAATTTAATTTCTCCGCCCTCTTCCCATATATTTATTATTGTCAAACAAAAAGATTGAGCTATTTTATTCTTCTCTTGATTTATATAAAATCATCTTTGACGTCTAAGTCGATTTAGTTTTTTGTTGGGGTTAATTATCATAAAATAATAAATATGACATCGTTTATGTTGAATTTTAATATATTAAGAGATAATTAGTATAGAAAGTCATATTATGTAAGTCATAACATATATACAAATAATATACGTACTTTTATTCATAAAAAAGATTATTTATTTATATATTCTATTTATCATAACATTTAATAACTGTTATGTTCGAAAGGTTATAAAAAAATTGAAAGTTTTCAATTACACTTTGGATTTTAGTTTAAATATTTTACTTTTCATTATGTCATAGGCTTAATCAAAAAAATTAATCATTTGTGATTTCTATTCATAACCTGTCAATCTTAAAGTGTTTGGAACTAATTTACTAATGAGAAATTACATCCGATTTTTATGATAATTTTTTCTGTTTAGAATTTTTTATTGTATGAATTATTTTATAATATTTAAAAAAAACAGATTATTTAAATCGAATACAAATAGTAAATTTTATTATTTGTACAATACGAATACTAAAAATTATTGGATTCATAAAAACAAATCGAATGCGAATAATGCAAAATTCGTTTGGTTTTTGAAAAAGTCTAAATTATCTCACATTATAAATATGTTTCTGTATAATATACAAATCAAACATTTTACAAAATAAAATAATAATAAATAAAATTCTGATTTAATAAAGTTAATCCTGTTGTATGATAGTTTTATGTTATTTATTTTAAAAAAAAATCATTAAACTTATCGGTATAAAAAATTTCCTTTTTTTAATTACATAAAAATAAAACTTTATTATTATCTAACGTGATCAAGGACCTACCTGATCTTACCTCTATAATATAATCAAATCGAGAAAAAATTAAAAATTGCAACAAATTTTAACATCGAGTGTTTATCATATTATTTATTAATTTATAATTTATAATTTGAAATGATATGAATAGAAAGATATTTCAGGAATTTAATAAAAAAAATCTATTTAATAAAGAGAGAATAAATAGTGTATATTTATTTTGTATCTCATATTCAAGAAGTTACTAACTAATGAGATTAACTTTTAAAAACTCATATGAAAATATTATGTATATAAATTGTGTATACATTTTGTTTCATTTCAATCTTCTTTCTTTTTTTTTTAATTTTGAGGTTCATTGAATTTATATCTTCACCATAATATTCTACATATATATATTATTATTATTTATCATATTATTCTATATATAATAAAATAATATAACTAAATAATTGTGCTCAAATATCTTTTAATAGATTAGATAATATAATTCTTTTCTAAATAGTCATTTTTATAATATCCTCAAATAAATGGTTATTATAATTGTTTACTTAAACTAAAATTTTATATTACATGGTCGAAATTCGATCTGTGAAAACGAAAGTTGATTATAGTTTTACTTTATAATTATGCTAAATCAGGCTGGAAGACAATATAAAAATCTTATTATATTTATTTAAATCTATTTTTTATTGATAGGATAAAAAGAAGGTGCAACTGATGACAATCGATGAGTTAAACACTTCAAAGTATGTTATACTTCATAAATATGTATTTTTTTTTTATATTACGTATGGGTCTGATATATTAAATTAAAATCTGATCATGCCTTGCCGACAAATATAATAAACACTCGTCAAAGCTGACAATTTTTCTTTGGTAATAATTTGTGTTTAAAAAATATAAAAATGAATTGTCATCAATTTTATACCTTTTATTAAAACAAAAAATAAATATGAGATAGTAAAAAAAAGTGTAATATATTTTAAGATTTAAGTCGCTTTTTCATCTAAAATATAATTTTTTTAAAAAAAGAAAAAGGTAATGAAGCGTTATCAATAAACTTAGCTTGATTTTTTTTTAAAGTTTCCTTACATGACAATTATTGGATTAAGATTAAAATTGAAATCACACATATATTAATTTATCAAATAATAAGAAACATTATTGATTTATAAACTCCTTCAACGTTATTATGAGGGAAAGAAAAAATTACGCAAAAGAGTGGCATTATTTTATAAATATATAAACAATCACATATTTTATAAATATCTTATTAACAAAGGTAAAAATAATTTTGTCCTATTTTGATGAAAATTGCTTTCGAACATTATTATAATGATTATTTTTTTTTTGTTGCAGAGTAGAGGAAACCCGGGTTATATTGTCCATAAAAATTTGTGCTATAAAAGACGAAGCAAATTTTCCAAAATGTTGAGTTTTATTCCTTACATAAATCTATACTGTAGAAATTAATAATTAAGAAAAATCTTTTAGTTTTAATTAATATAAAATTTTAAAAAAATGTAAATTTATGAATTATGAAAAACACCCGAGGTACCATTATCCTATCGCGTTGCATGTCATAGCGCTTTCTTATTTTTAGATTTTTTTAAAAATTTTTTATATATAAATGTTAATTCTAAGTAAATAAATAGAAATAAATTGTAAAATATGTAGGTTTATTTCTATTATATACATCCCCCGGAGGTCAATCATCTTCATATTTATTGTCATTCGAAGCCATAGACGAATTAGTGGCTTCTAATTTTCTTATAATTTAGTTAGATTTTTTTTATTCAAAATAATCCCTGCTAAAAAATGGCTATTACGTACCCCGCCAAAACCTGCCCCATGTCTTCACAATTTTAATTTGAAGATATTAAATTACCAAAAATATTGTCAATATTTTTATATAAGAAAAAATTGAGTATTTTATTATTTAGAATTGATACTTAGTCTGAGTAGCATTTATAAAAAGATTTATTAGTAAAAATGTAAAAAGTTACTTTTGACGTGAAAAATTTAAATTTGGATTTAAAATCTTCCATGAGCAATTTTTTGCGAAACATTTTTAGACCTACTTATGCAGCTTATTAAAATATAAATTTTGCTTAAATTTCAAATCTCAAAGTTTATCATATTTGAGAAGAAATTACCTGCCCGAGATAACACTATTTCCAGTCTTTCCTATATATATATCTCATTCCGTTTTAAATATTAGTAGATATAATTACAATGGCGCAAAATGATCGCCAAAATATTTTCTATTGGCGCATAATATATTATTTTTTATTAAATATGCACCTCGATAAATATTATAATATCCAAAATATTAAGAACTAGCCTAGCACTGTAGTTAATAGGTACACTGTTATAAATATAAATGGGTTGTTCTTTCTTGTAACATATAAGTATCTTCTTTTTCCCAATCGAACAATTATAAAAACAAATTTTTTTTTAAATAATGTACCATTATTTAGCTAAATGACTTCTTCTCCTCTTCTGATAAAAGTTAATTGGTTTAGTTTTCTTCTTCCCATCCATTCTTGTTTATTTGTGAAAATAAAAGTTTGCGAAGACAAAGTTATATACCTTATTTAAAAAAAAAATAATAAGTATATATTAATATAAATAATATACTAATTTAAAAAAATAAATTAAATATTTATTAATATGAAATCACTCATTATTTAGGTCATACAACCACATCTTAACCAATTCATTATGTATAGTATATAATTTCTTTCCCCCCATCATCTCATTTAACCATAATATTTAATATAAAAATTAATTTGTTTTCTTTCTTATTTAGATTTTTTTTAAAACTTTTTTCTTTATTTATTAGAGTTAAGTTTACGTGTTTATTATAAAAATATGTATACTATGTGCGAAATTTACCTTTTATATTATTATTAAATATACTTTTTATAATATAAACGATTTTAATTTTTAAAAATATATAAAATAAGATGTTATTAAAATATCTTAACGTTGCCTTTATATTAACTATAACTCTATATAACTTTTTAAATGATATTTTATTAAATTGATAATCTTAATCTTTGAAGTTTTACATTTAAATATTTTTGATTTAATAAAAAAAATAAAATAAGGTGCTAAAAGTTAATAATTTCTTTTATATCAATTAAAAAATGTCTTAAAATATCTCTTTAAAAAGGACTGTTAAATATTAAAAAACAATTATAATAATGTCTGCGAGAGGAGATAAAAGTTCTATTATAACTTCGTCTAAAGAAAACAAAAAATTGAAAAGAACTTTCAGTGATCGAGCTTTGAGAAGAATATCTAATATCATTTTTAAATTTCCATTCCGTTTTTCATTGCTGTCATCGCGGTAAAATAAAAAAAAATTATTAACATGATATATCTTAAAATTATTTCTACGTCACATCGATTATATAAATTTTCTTTTACTCCTTTTTTTAATAGACTTAATCCGAGTTCCAACAAATAATATTTTATGATTTTTTAATGTAATTTACTTTAGAGTTTAGATTTATACGATTTGAATATAGCTGTTTTTTTTTCATTTTAAATATTATGCTTTACATATTTTTTTTAAAAATAAGCATAACCATTTTTTTTCTCCATAAATTCAAATAGAATAAGTTTAGCATCGAATCAAAATCTGGAGGACCAGAATTTCGATACGGATTCTTGTTTCGAGGGGAACGACAATAACCTAGACGATATAATTAAAAACAGACCAATTAATCTCACTCGATCCCCCAAAATTAATAAAGGTATCACAAGAAACAAAACCATAACGAATAATACCAATGTGACAAATTTTCGCCGATTTTCTTCCTACGGCGAAAAACAGAATCCTATGTATTCATCATTCAAAGGGCGAGATAATATACAATTCACAGTGGACTCGATTTCCGATATCATTCCTCCTTCGTTAAAAGGTAAACATTCTAAACATTGTTCAGGGACTCGCAAACTGATGGCCACTGCCAAAATGCGTTATTCTCAAGAAGATTTAAACCTCGACGTCAATTTTTTGTCAGAGGATCACGCTGACGAGGGTAGAACAAGTTTCAGAGATGAGCCATTTTCCGACGATTTAACAATTGTCGGTAATATGACGCTTCGCCGAAAAAATATTCTGAATCGTTTTGCAAAATTGGCGACCATATCAGAGCTTGCGAACTCGGAAAATAATTCTACGATTTTATTTAATGGCAATGACGATATTCTAGACAACCGCAAGGAAAAGTATGAGTCTATTTTAAATCTTATACTGTTTAGCAGGCGCGTTATCACCTCCTCCCCCCCTATCGCTAATTTGCGCTCGTAAATATCATTTTCTAATATATATCTCCCCCCCCCCTCTCCAAAAAATATTATAATAAGAATTTGAAAAAAAATTAGTAAAAGTTAATAACTTTTTAAAATAACTATGATAATTCAAAATATTTTTAAAAGAAGGATTTTAATTTTAAAAAAAATGAAACCAAATATTATTTTTATAAAAATCTAATATAGCCAAAACCTACAATAAGTGGACTTTAAGATCTCCAATAAAATTTATCTAATAGTTCCCCCCCCCCTCTCACCTTTGCAAAATCCTGGATACGCCTATGTGTTTAAGTATTTAATTATAAGTTGATCATATATAATACCTAATAATATGTGAGTTTTTTTTTCGATCGAGATAATTTAATTACAAGTTGCATTTACATTATAATAGCATACTTTGATTGATTCATTTATGTATAATCTCTCTTTTTGTATGTTAAAAAACATATTCAATTTGGTAAAGTGTAATCATCATTAGGTTCTGTAACATTTAAGCGCATTGCATATTAAGTTTTTCAAATAAATTGTTTTGAAAAAAAAACAGAAACACCACTGTGCAAATTAATAAAACACACATTTGAAGAAAATGTGCAGATATGAATGAGTAAAATTATTTTTGTAGGGATATAAAAAGCAAAAAAAATCTTTTATATTTTACAAGAACTTGGAAAAACATAAGAAAAAAAATGCTTATTTTAATGAAAATTTTGAATATTCAAAAACTAATTATTTTAGAAAAAGTTAATTTTTAACTCAAAAATGAGATAATTATAAAATGATCTTGATAATGAAAAATTCAAAATATTAGTAGAATATATTTATTTAAGCTGATTGTGAAATATGATGCAATAAAATTGGTAGATTATATTTCCATAAAGATTGTAGTATAAAAAACAGAAAAAAACATTATTTTCTTTTGTTTTTTTCCCAAAATACGGGTTTTTTTTATCTACTTTTATGTTATAATTGATAAAAAACACAGCCATCCTTCAAACACCTGCTTCTGTTTACATCGTATTAAATCATCATATTATATACCCTCTTAAAAGATTCCCCAATATCTTTTCCTTTTTTTATTGGTTTATTATATTTTTAAGAAAAATTAAAAATTATAATATTATCGAAAGAAAAAAATCATGGAAGGGAGTCTGACATATGCTCCCATAATTATTTAATTTTTAGCAGATTATTTAATTTGGAGTACAAGAACACAAATTCTTTTAATCAAATAATATTATTGCATCTAATATATAATACAGTATTTCAGATTATAAGAATATTGGTTTCAAATTAATTGAAAAATTTATACATTATTTATTACATTTTATTGATTATAATATTAAGTGTCTTTACTCTTTAGTTTGAAAAAATATATATAATGCAGAATGCCATTAAGAAATTATTATAAAATTTAAATTAATTTAGATAAGTATAAACTTATTTAAAAAAATAGCTTGTTTAAAATTATAAAAATAATTTTTTTTTAATGCGAAACTACGAATTTAATAAAAATAAAAATAAATGATGTTCTCAATTTTTTTTATAATATTTTTAGATTCAGTTTTACTTATCGCTTATAAAATTTATAAATAATGGGATTTTCTTTCCTTAAAATAATTTCAATAATCAGGATCAAACGACACGGGACGCACAAAACAGACAAAAAAGAACCAGTGGACGCTTACTGCCACGATGTTGATGTTACGGTAGATCGTGGTAAAGAATTTGACTCCGAAGAGGCCATTCTACCCAATGAGGCAAACAAAGTTGGAGACAACAAACCAAAGGCTTGTTATTATTTCCCTAAAATCGATGTCGCGAGCAACAAATACTCCAATCAAGCTATCAAAGGTCCGACGGAAACTTTCCTCGATGATCAATTTTGCCTTCTTTCGCCACAAATTGATTCCCCTTTAAATATAACAAAAGAGCATGGCTATTGTTCACCAACCCTCAAATCTGAATCTAACATCAATGAATTATATTCGAAAAATTTTATGAGAGTGAACCAGAAAAATAATCTGCCCTACTCTCTCAAAAAAGGTGACGCAAAAAAAAGCGCGAATAAATACGGTAAATACCAACGGAACTTTGATAAAGGGAAAAATGATCCCGTATCCCGTGCACAGGAAAATATGTTATTACCTCAACAATCAAGTGAGGAATCCCAAGATATAAAATATTCCGGCAAATATCTATACGAAAAACAAAGTAGAGGTACAACATTATCCTCTGAAGAATCCTCTGTCACTTCATTGCCACCTTCTAGGAGTGATAGTGGTTATTGCTCGTGGGACAATGGACTACCGCCTATGATTAACGGTCATTTAGTCATGAATTTAGAAAATAATTGTAATGATTCCAACCCAAACTTTAAGCATAAAACGATTCCACCTCATCGCCTGGATGATAATAATTCTACCGAGATAAAGAGCAAAAATATCAATAAACAACACCGAAAATTGAATCAATGGTCTAATGTTTCTATAAATAATCTGGTAGGCACTCAAGATCCCATCAACATAGCTAATCATAAATGTCTCGATATTGATTGTAATATAAATTCTATAACGAGACTAGAATTCTTGGAACCAGAATCTTTAAAATGCCCGATCTCTGAAATTGACAGTTATGAGGAATACAGCGAGAGTGAAGATGGGTATTGCGAGGATAACTCTGTTATCAACTATTATCTACCTCTCAAACCGGAGTTATGCTCTAATATTAGAAAGGACCCCACGCTTCGTCATGGTTATTTTGCAAGATTACTACCCCCAAAACTGGACGCTTTTCAACTTTCTACCCCCAGCGATCGTATAAATAACAACTTACAAATATATAATTCTCAAAAATCATCATCCCAATCCCCACCCTGTAGAAATAATGCTTTGAAGGCGAATCAACTTATTCGTCAAAAATCTCAGGAAGAGAAAGAATATTATGAATTATGTAGGGATATGAAAAGTTTAGGTTTGGCCAACCCTAATTTAAGAAATATTTTGAACCAAGAAGTTAACGAAGAGGTGATAAAGCAAATGTACCTTATATTTGCATCGGCGAAGGCAAAATCCGATATGATATCATCATCGATATTTAGGTTTGCTTAATTAAGTTTTACACATTCATAAATATAAATATTTTTTAGAATTATTATTATATATCCGTTTGTATTTATATTTAGTCAAGGCGATACAATCTCAAATCCCAAAGTGTCTGCAATAGATGATACCGATTCTATGCCGAATAATGACTCAAAAAATATTCTATATCAGGCCAAATTTTTAGATGGTGTTCAGAACAAATTAAAGGCCTTGAAAATGATGAAAAGTGATCTCGAGGAGGAAGTCTCAAACAATAATCTTACATGGCAACAAATGAAAGCTATTATCAGCAAAGTAATTATGGTGATATTTATGAAATAAATTTCATATTTTTTAAATAAATTAATTGACGAATGAATTATTAAGAGCAATTGTAAACTTCTTATAGTGTAAGTAACTCCGTAGTCCGTTACCTTATTATAAAAGTAACTTCTATACCGATGCTGTTACATTCTTTGATGTTATATTTTACAATGTTTAAAGAAATGTTTTACTATATTTTAGCTAGTGAAATCTCAAGAAATGGAGAAAGTTTACCATTATTTTGACGATTCTGAAAAGATAATCTGTTTATTGCTGAGTTTGTCGATACGTATTTTTAAAAATAACCAATTGTTAAACAGCTGTATAGATACCAAAATGATGGATAATGACAAGGTATATAATATTATATAAAGCTTGCGAACCCAACTTGACAAAATAATAAGATATCAATAAGTAGTCCACCATTTTTATTATTTTCATAAACTAGGCTCGATAAATAAATACAAATGTTTAATCGATCACGCTTCGCATCTAAATTTAAATTAATTAGTTAAGGGTTTATAAGACACTGCACAAACAAAAATAGCCAATTTTGCTTCGGTTAGGTCAAATTTTTAAATAATCATAATATTAAAATTAAAATTACATTGATTTCAATGCGGTTACTTCAATTTCATCAATTGGCTTAAATGTAATAAATACATTCTATTCTTTTAATAACGTGATTATTTATTTAGTCGTGTACCAATTTGTTTGATTTCTTAATATATCTCATCGGTGGGAGATCTAACATTATATTTTTAAAAAATAACAATTAATTTACTTAAAATAAAACCTTTTTAATCCATGTAATTTAATCATTCACACAAATGTCCTTATCATCATAAATAAATTTATAGGTTAAAATAACTATTTTTATTATATATTTTCATAAACCATATTTTAATCTTGGAAACGGGCACTTATTTTCAATTTTTTTATAAGTTATTTAAAGTAAAAGAAAGAACGAACGAATACTAAATGTGAGATGAACATTTCTAAAGTTAACAACCCTAAATTTAACATTTATTTATTATTCTCATTTAGGGTTAGGGTTCATAATTTTTAGTATTATTTAATTTAATAAATAATATTATAATATGATTAAACAGGAAATATATGAAAATCGGAAATCTAAACTGGAGATGCAATACAAAGATGCCATGAATTTGAAGTTATCTATAGATAAACGCCTCCAACTTGTCGATACTTTATTCTCAAAATATATCTCGGAATCTGATTGCACGAAATTTCAGGAATACTGCGAATCTCGAATAAAATTGATCATAGTAAATAAATTAGATGTTTGATATAATTATATAGTGGGGATTCGTGAAATTTATATTTAATAATATATATAAAGGGAGGGTATGGAGAGTATGCATCCTGTATAGTGTAGATAGCTAGCACAGGTATAATCGTCGACTTCCTAGTAACTTGTCTGACTATTTAACTAAGCCTCGGAGGCGTGTGAATTATTTTGTTTTCGATTATTTCATCTTCTTAAATATTATAAACATTTTGCAAGTAAATAAAATGGCCTGATTTTACAATATTATTCTAAAGTTTATTCTGAACCAACAAATATATGTATTACAGACCTGAAGAATTTAAGATAATGGAATTAATATATGATGACCCCACTATCTTAAACCATAATCAATTTTAAAATTAGGATCAAAGGTTTATTATCGAGAAGATCAAAATCGGCGAGGAACAATTGTCAGCTTTGCAAAATCAAGAAAATTTTTGAAAAACATACGTTTAACACAATTGTTACCGGAAGTTGTGATAAATTATTGGACTGATAATAATAACTCTTTCATCTAGTATTAACTAAAATTTAATGTGTATTATCTAAATTATTTATTTGTATTATAATATAATCTCATTAATGATATCAAAATAGTTTATACTTTATAATATTATTCTAAAATTGATTTGTGTTTAGCTAATATAAATATTTTATAATAATTGTTTATTAATAAATTTTTATATTGATATTGACCCATATAAATATAGTGTCCCCTCCCTATTCCTATTTTATTGAATACATCACTCTGTCTCAATAAAACGATCATCTCCAGACTCATAATTTTGAAATTAAAAAAAAACATTTTGTTTTAAATATGCTTTTAGGAAATTGAGTAATTTAATATTAAAAAAATGACCACCTTAAATTTATAAATTAAAAACCTTGTTTAAATGATCCTAATCATTTTAACTCGAAAAGAGTTATAATTGAGTGTTGACAATTCACTGATGTTATTTTATGCGACATCTTTTGAATATTTACCATTGTACATTTTTCTTAAAAACGTTGGTAAAATGGTTTAAAAATTTTGAGAATTGTAATTCTTTAAGGTTCTCTGGTAACGATGCTCCTAAAATTTCGTTGACATTCTTATTAGTTTTAGTGATGCTTCGCTGATTTTATGACCTAAGAATTCGATCATTTCCTTGAAAATATTACATATTTTGAAATCTAATTCAGTTTATTTCTAGCGGTATAAGGTTTCTTTTATGAGTTTCGATTGATTCCCCAGTAATTATTATATCGTTAATATAACTCTACACCATATGGTCATTTTAATAATGAATCTATTGCTTATTGAAATATAGCCAGCCCTGAAACTACCCTGAACGGAAATCGCTTGAAACGATAAAGTCCAATAAGAGTGTTAATTGCTAAAAAAAATTTACATCCTCATCTCGAGCTATTTAAAATACTCTTATGATAAATCTAATACCTTATATATTGATCCATTACATAGTGGATCTAATATACCTCGTTTATTTTTGGTATGTATTGATCAATAAAAATATCTACATTAACTGTCCCGGAAGTTACTACAAATACGTAAGGATCTATCCTTTTTGAATAAACTGGGGAAACGATTTTCAAAAATTTTAGTTTTCCTAAAACTCTTAGATTCTAGTCGTTGCAGTTCAGTTTCTAATTTGGTTTTGCCTTAGGTTTTACGGTTATGCTGCAGGCCCGATTCTAGGCCTATTTGGGGAAAAAATTTTTACAACTGCCCCTAAAAGTTTTTTTGGTTCTTGAATATTTTTAATATTTTATTGAGAAATTTTAAAAAAATAAGAATGTGATGGAAAAATAACTGTTGTTTAAACCACTATTGGTTTTTAAAAAAAACTATTTATTTATGTCTGCTAAAATACCTAATAGCGCCTACGCACCTCATATTGTAATGAGGAAGGATAAAATATAAATATAGTTAATTTGGTGGAAGAATGAAAATGATCATGATGCTAAGATTCAGAAAAGGAAAATAAGCCTGAGCTTACAAAGACAAAATGGATAGGTTAGATTTTTAAGTTATTTTTATTGCAATATTTTACAACTGATTTAAATTTGGTATCATCATATATCACCAAATAGGCCAAAATCTAGTGGTGTTAAAAGCCATGTTCGGGTTGATTTTAAAAAACGGGGCGATCAAAACTATAACGTTTTGCTCATAGAAGGCAGAAAGGTTTCGACATTTATTTGTCAAATGACGAGGTTCACATAATATTATTTTGTCTAAAATCTTAATTGAGTCATTTTTAAAAATTGACCTTAATCGGGCTTTTTAACAACAATTTGGTAAAAGACTGTTTGGAAAAAGATTTTCTTTAAAGTTATATAATACGTATAGGAATAATTAATTGAAACTGATGCAGTTTTTTGCCTTCCTTGTAAGATATAAACTTAAAGAATTGTGAATCAAATCTATACCAAAACGTATGAACTGGAAGAAGTTCTTGTATGCAGGGGTCTTGAGAAACATTATTATAATTGTAGAATACATAGAAGAAGAGGATCATAAGGCTAAAAGATTTTTCCAATTTTAACTAATTAGCAAATTTAAATCAAGATAGCCATTTTTATTGGTAACAACCAATATTAATGAAGAAGGATTAGTGATTGAAATTAGATTGTTAAAAAATTATTTGCTAAAAGTTTTGATAATAAATATTTTGTTACATTATATTTTGTCAAATTTCTATACTCATACAAAAATGCATTTCCAAATGTCTTTCAAATATTCTGTAAGTTTAGATAATCCACATCGAGTTGTGAGACTACTTTTCACCAGAGAATTATTAGAAAGGGTAACTTATCATAAAACATATTTTCGCGAAGTTTTATAGCGAATGTTTATAAGTGAGATTTTATAGATAAACATTTTTCGCTCGCATGCTAATCAGCGAAGACCATATCGAGAATTTTTATAGCAGAACTTTTACTAACATTTCTTTAGAGCTAATATATAACAACAAAAATTTTATCGCCAATATATAATAACGAAAATCTAATAGAGAAAACGACACCCAAATTGCTACAGCAATATAGCGAAATCTATTTTGCGAATCATATATAGCGAAGTGAAGTCAATATCGTAAAAAAAACGCGAAAGCAACTACGAAGATTACCAATAGTGATTATTATCTAAAAATCAATAGAATACATTATTTTACTCTTTCATATATTTTTCTGAGCAATTTATCTTTCAAACTGAATTTCCGTTTCCTGTCCAAAGTTGTTTTATACCTGAGTATTAAGAAATACCGGGCATTCAGTTCTCTCTTTCTTTCTGAGATGTTTCCAGATGGCCAGTTAAGAGAAGAGAAGAGCCTCAGGTCTAAAAGATTTTTACGAGTATGGCTCGTATATTTATTGGATACATTAAAATTCCCAAGGAAATTGTTTCGTTTGCTAATTGAAAAAATTAAAAATTGCAGGAATCTAGTTATATCAATTATTAACAACAAGATGCAACTTTTGATTGAAACAATGTATATAAGGCACATTAATTTTTTTTGGAATAGTACTTCCCCATTTGACCATACAATGACATTTTCAGCCTGACTTATTATATTGGATAAATTAATCTATAAATCATTAAGTTGTTTTAAAATGCTCTTTCTTATGCTTTTGGCATGAAAACTTCATTATTTCTAATAAATAGCATTAATTTCCTCGGTATCATTTTAGTTGTAACATTCGGTGTGTTGCGATAATTAAATATGAATTTTTCTAAAGCTACTTTATTGTTGTTTTATGTGTTCCTTTCCATCCTCATTTTCATAGATTTCATCATGCGTTCACACTTGCCATTGATTACTTGGTGGTGAAGAGCAGCAAGTACGTTTATTCCATGATCTTCACAAAATTTTTTAAATAAAAAACTTGTAAATACCATTATCACTGACGATTTTCTTATGTATTCCAAACCAACTTATGATTATTATAAATTCTTTAATAGTTAATTCTGTAGTTGTGTTCTCCATTCTCTTTATTATTGGAAACTTGCTGAATACATCAACCAACACCATCCAATTATTTTCTTCAATTTGCCCATAATTTTGTTTTCCCAGCACCTATGTCCTTACAACTAAGGTATTATTATTCTATTTTCTTTAAAAAGACAATTTTGATCAAACTTAAATCTGTCTACATATTTTATGAGTTTTGTTGTTACTTCACCTTCCTTATGTTGTCAATAATCTCCATCAATTCCTTATCATCAGACGTTTCATACATTATCATTTTAAAATTTATTGGTATGTCCCACAATTCACTATCAATCTTTTCATCATCTAAGTTTTGCATCATAATCATATCTTCTCTATTCGTCTCTGGTAATCGTCAAACAATCTGGTGATATTGCGTTTTCCAGCTCTATGAATTATTGTGAAATCGTGTGCTCCTATTTCTAAATTCCACTTTTGTAACTTCTTGGATTGAAATATTATCTTCTAAACCCTTGGTAAAAATATACACGAGTGGCTTATGGTCTGTAATCATTGTAAATTTTGTTAATGATATTCTTGAGTTTTCATTATATAAATTATTGATAAGGCTTCTCTTTCAATGTTTGTGTAATTTATTTCTGATTTTAACAAAGTTCCTGAAGCAAAAACGATTGGTTTTTCTTTTCCATCTACTTATGAAATAAAACAGCATCGAATCGTCAGCTGCTATCTCTATAGGTAAATCAATAACGTTGGTGGAGAACTTATTAACTTTTTTAAATTGTCGAATCTTTTCGGTTGTGTACTTTCTCATAGCCAGCTATCTTTGTTGACTATTTTAAATAAAGGATCTGTTATATACGCAAAATTGTAAAAGAATTTAAATAACTAGCCATGCCCAAAAATGTTACAAATTCCTCTTTTGTTAGGTTCTAGCATGTTTGTAATAGCTTTTTATCTTCATTAAAAAGCATACTATTTGCATCAATGTCATGTCCCAAAAAACGAATTTCATTTTTAAAACTTTTGGGGAAATTAGGCATTAAATCATACTTTATAAATCTTCCTAAAACTTTTTTATTCTATTTAAATGAGCTTTATCATTATCTCCAGTAGTAAGTAAATAATCGATATAAAATATAACATCTTTCATATCATCAAATATTTTGTCCATAGTCTATTGAAAAATAGCTGGTGCAATTTTTAAACCAAAAGAAAGTAGTATAAATCTGTAGTATCCTTTGTGAGTAGATATCGTAAGTATATCCCTTGACTCCTTATGCATAGGAACTTGAAAGAAAGCGCTCTTAAAGTCAATCTTTGTAAATTTCTTGCCTTTTGATAATTTAAAAATTAAGTCGTTGATTTGTATTATTGGATATTTAAAATCTTCCAAAACTGGGTTTATAGTATTCCTGAAGTCGCGCAGTGAGGCTCATTCTTGAAAACGAATTAATAGGACTCGCCCAGCCAACATCTTTTACAGGTTCAATAATTTTATCATCTATTTATTTTTGTAATTCTTTTGTAATTAACATGAATATGGAACACGCTTTGGAGGTATAATCTTTGGTGTGGC